ATGTAAAAGTACAGTATTTTATTAACGTGATAGAAAAATGTCATTATCTGCTGTTTTATTGCAGTAATTTTCTATACATTCCTTGGTAGAAAATTAATTTCGAATGATCGTACCAGTCTCTCTTACATTATTTATACGCTAAACAGTTTCGTCTATATTTTGCGGCTTAAAAGGCGAATAAACTATAATATTCTTCTTCCTTAAACTTTAAATGGACAATACAAAGCCCTTTTTATCAAGTGAGGAATTGGCGAAGTGTCTAAGGCGACGGACGATTATCCAAAAGATGTCTTCAGTTCAAGTTCGAATCTCACTAGAGAAAATATTAGAAATTATGAAAAAATAATGTAGAAAATTTTTTGTTGTCATAGAATTTTATGAGTATTTATGAGAAAGCGCTTATTCTATGAGTAATTATAAAAAATTATGAGAAAATTTAATTGAAGAACCTACGAAACGACAGGATATGCGCGCAATCTGCAGCCAATCTGCCGTCATAGTCTGTCAACAGGCTCTGCGCGCAATCTGCCGCCAGTCTGTCGTCAGAGTCTGTTCGCAGACCCTGTCAACAGTCTGGCGGCAGATTGGGGACGCAGATGTCTATGGATCTGTCGACAGATCCTGCTCGGATTCGACAGATCCTGTCGACAGTCTGACGTCAGTCTACGCGCAGATTGCTTACTGGGTATATACATTTATCTTCTTAAACACTTTTCATAAATCTAATAAATAATACTTGTGAAAAGTCGTTTATTAGTGCAACAAATAAAACAAAGTAATCTGTTCATTTCGATCAGAAAATGTATATTTCGATGTGAAGTCGGATGCAAAATAAATTTGATTCAGAATATATGTAATATTTTTATTTTATTTTCGAATTTTTTCAATTTATGTTTTATTAATGTTCTATAAATTGTTTTTATTTTTGGTATCACCTTTTTAAAAACGCAGAAACATAAATATATAAGGTGTAGTAAAAAGAAATCCATTATTTTTGCATGAAATTAAAGGCCTTATTTAGCATAATTAGAATGATCCGATTTAGGTCAAATATACACCCTTTTGTTCGATAACTTGTTGTCATTTTGAAGGTAATTCCATTATGCCTCTCTCATAGAAAGCCTTGTCCCTATTGGCAAAACACTGGGACAGTCGATTTTCACAAGCTTCTCTTGAGGCGAATTTTTCACCAGCAAAATTATTCGCCATAGACA